TTTTGAACTGCAATAATTTTAAGTCTTAAAACACATCAAACTGGAAACTACCAATGGTGTATAAAAAATATTTAGCTGAAATGCACAGAATCTTTTTTAAAAGTTAAAATTAGGAGCTGGGATGTAGATCAGTGGTAGAGCAGCCCTGGGGCTAATCCCCAGCACAAAAACATGGAAAATGATAAATCTGCACTGTGAATTCTACTAGTGTGGCCTTTGGCATAAAACTTGCCAAAGTCAATAAAAGGGGCTTGAAAGCTAGAGACTAGCATCAACATTATTTTCTGTAGTTAACTAGTTCAAGGTTATTTTTTCCTTCTGAATTTTTAAAAATTAATGGTGAGATTTTTACCTTCATAAGATTTTGATTTTGAATTTCATAAGATTTGGGTGAGGTTAGATTTTTAGATTCTTCTTCATTTAAAGTAATTGTTGCTTATTTTTCTAAAGAAAAAAAAATCTTAAAAACCATAATATGTTTCACAAACACTCCAGTAAGCAACAGTCTTATTTTAAACGTTATTAAATTTCTTGAGCACGTATAGGTGATAAACATCAAAGACATATCACTGATCCATAATAATGTTAAAACTAATAAACTTTTACTTTCAATCCCAAAGTAACTGTTAAAAAGAAGAACACATTCACAAATTAAACAAAGCAGCTTATGTGAACACGTTTTAAAAGATGCTTCCCAGGGAGCACCAGAGTCGGGGCACAGGATCAGGCAGTACTTTCAGACAAAACAGATGTGAGGTAAACAAACATCTCAATGGGTTACAAAGTCAACTTTGCAGGTTGCAAATGAGTTTGTCTCATTTGATCAGTTCAGACCTCATTGCTGTGACTGGCTAGCACTCTTGTTAGGTAGGTAGGTTTTCAGTCCTCCAAATACTAAAATACATTACAGCGAGAGGTTAATTTCACAGTAGCACTGGGGGTAGTAAAGCCAAAGTAGGGAGACATGTCCACAGAAGACATGGAGCCACACTAAGGATTCAAGATCATCTGTTTTCACATGGAATTGTAAACAACAGCCAATCTTTTGTTGAAGGGGGTAAGACCCTACAGAGCTTCTGACAGAATGAGACCTAACCCCAAGTAACTGCCAGTCTTGTCCAGTTGCATAAATGTCCACAGGTATGCAAAAGTTCACCTCTCTAGGGAAAGAGCAGCTGTGTGCACCTGAATTCATCACACACCTCTTCTGTGGCCAAACTGTGCAGATTTCTCAGATCTGGCCACCACAAGATTAGGCAGCAGCAAGGTATGCAAAGGGAGTCAGCACCACTTTCCTTAGACTGGGTTGCCCCTCCTGATTTGGCTGAGTTCAATGTTTAGACATTTATGTGCATCAGGAGTTTTAGGGTACAGCTGACCCTCCATATGTGCAATTCATCATCCTCACATTCAACCAACCTTAGATGCCAAAAATTCAGGAAAAAATTCTTCTGTACTAAATAAACATGTGTATTTTCCCTTGTCCTGACTGCTTAACCTGTTACATAGCATTTATGTTGTAATGGGCATTATATGCAATCTACAGGTGGTTTAAAGCCCACAGAAGGTGAAGTGGGATAGAAGAGGCTGGATACCTGAGAATTTTCAGGAAGCAGGTTTATTGATTTCAGGGTTCAGAGGGGATCTTGCTTAAAAATTCTCCCCTGGTCCATAAACATAGAAATTTTTTGAACTTTATGCTTAGTGGGGTGGGCGTGGGTGGCTTGCAGGTTCACAGGACAAGTGCTCTACATCAGGCAGGGTTTTCACAAGTGTTTTCTGCAAACCTGGCATTTATAAACAAGGAAGAAGCTGCACACCACTCTAACTTCTGCAGATTTTTGCTGACAGCTGATGTCCTGTGCCGAAAGCTCTCTGATAAGAAGAGGAACTTACATGCCACAAATATAGTGGAGATTTCTGCTTAATTATGGTAACAGTCTTCTGGGTGGGGATCTCTGGTCTGCTTCATTCCCCACTTTGATGGTCATTATTTAATTATTTAAATCAAACATCATCAACTTCTTTTTGGCTTACAGCTTTATATAATAACAGAGGTCTCTGGCCTCCACCAGGTTGTTGAGATCACATGGCTTGCTTGCCAATTTTGTTTCAGACTCTGCTGTTCATTCTCATCTGCTGTTCACAGCCTTACATCAAGCACAGCTCTAAAGTCAGCTGCAGTGGGCCATCCAGATCTGCAGATGGGCATTGGCAGTAATCTGACTGGTGCTCTGGAAGAAAAGGTGCTGGAGCTCTTGGTGGTCTCAGCTCTGTCCTGTGGGCACATGCTTTATTCTTTGACCCAGTTCAAAACCATCCTCCAGATAGTAAGCTTGGATTCCATGCTTTAATACCCTTCAGGGTTTAAACTGGCACACATGTGACTTTTCTGATATTGCTGGTTATGTCTTTAACTGCCTGTCCTTTGTCATCTATTTGAATGCAACATTCTGAACTGTTGAACTTTTTACACATTTCCTCCCTTTTAACCAGTAGGGAACCTAATGCCAAGTGGTTTTGATAGATAGCTGCTCTCATCTGGGTTCGTTGTGTGGCTAGGTCAAAAGCTATGACAGTCTGATTAGTGATAATTTCTAGTATAACTTGTAAGTGGATAATCCTGTTTATTATGTAAATATGGGTTCTATAGCCCCAACTGCCATCTTGTACCCAGTTAGCAGGACCATAAGTGTCATTAAGAGGGCCAGTAAGAGGACAAGATTCTCTCCCTATGAGCTAGTGTACGAAGCCTCTGATCAGTGTTGGAGCCAGTCATCTTCACCTCAAGATTGGTGACCTCCTAGATCGAGTTCTTTCCCAATGGACCTCTTTTCCCTTGGCCCTAGATCTTCATACAAGGGGATTCCTAGGTCTTTTCCAGTCACATTGGGCAGTAAGAAAAATCCAGGTTTAATAGTACCAATAGTTCAGGTTCCCCTCCAGTTTGTTGGGAGGTGAGTATAAGCCTTTTTTCCACAAATCCAAAATAGTCCATCAGGTGCTTTCCAATTAGAAAGGCCTGGATTTCTCCAGAATTTATAGACTTCAGGGATGCCCCCAAAAGAACTTATTTGGTAATGTTTGGGCTGATACAGTTAAAAAGAATTCCTTTCTTATGGGGCTTTTTGCTTAGTAGACCATTCATCCCCAGCCAGCCTGGATTATCTGTCCAAAACCAAGTATGTTTCTTTGGCCACCAGGTGGCATTCCAAAACAAAATCCTATTGCATGGGGTTTCACTGACCCATTGGGTATGGTGGGGTCCAAATCCACCAACACATTTTTTTACCAAATACTTCTGAACTGAGGACCCAGCCCTAAGGGGCTTTCAATTTTTAGTTCCACCTGGATCTTATTCCACAGCAGTAAGGAATAAGCATCTACATTTATTCTGGTCCAGGGCCATTCTTCACTCATGAGGGCCCCTCCACAGTTTTTAACCCCAAGATTTTTAGCTATTCTTTCTGCTAGATCCAGGAAGAGATTTTTTTTTCCCAAAGAAGGAAGGTTGAGATTTGGGCCTAACCCTTCATATAGTTTAGCATCATGAGTAGGGTTTATGGTGGGTCTTGGGGCAATCAATCGTGAATCACTTTTTATAAACTTTTCCCATGTCAGAAGCTGAGGTCTAGTGGCCAGCAATACTAAATTCCACTGGTAGGGGGGGAAATTCCATGGGCAAGTTATATCCCCCTTTATATTAAGATGCAATGGTGGAGTCCAGAGTGACCACTGCATATACAGCAAGATGTAGCCCATCCTTTATGAAACAGCTTCCATCTGTGAAGTACTCTGCATCAGGGTCCTCCAGAGGCTCGTCTGTCAGGTCTGGTTTATGGGAGAACACCCTATAACCTCAATATAGTTGTTATCAGGATGCCCAGTCCCAATGGGCAGCAGAGTTGCTGGGTTTAGAGTTCAGATGACTTCCATGACTTCCATGTGGACATGTGGCTTTTTCACAAAACATGGGCTGGTATTTGACTATCCTCACATTAGTCAACCAATATTGTCTTTAACAATGCCAGTACAAAGTGTCAATTCCTGTCCCATAATCAGATTGCCAGCCTCTAACACCAGAAGGGCAATGGCTGCAAAAGCCAGTAAATAAGGTAAGCAGCCTTGGGTTATAGAGTCCAGCTATTTAGACAGATAGGCCAATGGATGGTGCCATGTCCCCATCAATTGAGCCAGAACTCCTATAGCTATTTCAGATCATGCATGGACATGCAGAAAAGAAGGCTGTGTGAGGTCAGGGAGTACTAGGCTATGTGCACTGGTGAGTGATTTTTTTCTGTCCTCAAAGGCTCTTTGTTGCACTGCCCCCCACATTAGAGGATCCTGTTCTCCCCCACCCTTTGTTGCTTCATAGAGGGGTTTTGCCATAACTGAAAAGTTCGGGTCCATATTTAGCAGAATTCAACAGCACCCAAGAACTCTCTGATCTGGTGTTGGGTATAAGTGTCCAGAATTGAACAGATCACATGTTTCCTCCCAGGGCCCAGTTGCTTTTGTCCCTGAGTAAGATAGAAACTGAGGTACTTGACTTTTTTCTTGATAGATTTGAGCTTTTCTTTTCTTTATTTTTTTTTCTTTCTTTCTTTTTTTTTTCTTTTAGATTTTGTAGGCAGTTTTACATAGATGAGCAAGAAGCAATTATGTCCCTTTCACGCAGTATTTTCTGAGTTTCTCCAGCCAGCAATAGATCATCTACATATTAGAACAATGTGCATCTACGTTAGAGGCCAGTGTCCATTCATTTTGCAGGAAAGGCTTTCATAGCAGGAGCCAGCAGCATCCTAAAGATGATTGGTGAGTTTTGTTTTTTGTTTTTTTTAAAGAGAGAGTGAGAGAG